GTACAAATTATCTAGGGATCTTGTTAAAATACAGATTCTGATTCAGTAGGTCTGGGATAGGGCTTGAGGTTCTATATTTATTTCCAACAAGCTGATGCTAATGGTGTTGGTTCATCAATTACCCTTTTTGAGGAGTAGAGTGCTCTAAGATTGAATTGAATATAGACAAATTCGAGCTTAAAGAAAGAGTAAGGAGTAAAAAAAAATTAGTGAACTACAACAGAAATCCTGATTTTATGTTATCACCAAGGCTCACTATTGAGAAGAAGCAGAAGCGGAGGTATGTTGGAATATGAATCTAATGCTTGGAAAAGAAATAAACTAAGTAAGCCACAGTATGCAATTGGAAAAGATGGATGGATTCAAGGATTACTGTAGAGGCTTAGAACCCCCACTCTCCATATTTAGAAATTTCTCTTAATAAGTGTTTTTTTTTCTTTTTTGTAACTGTGGAATTTAATTTGAAGGAAGTGATAAAGCTAAAATGAACCAAATTATATAATGCAGCAAATGCATTATTTAACTTATTCATAATGCTTAATGCTAGACCCTGAAGGTGCTCCCACTTCTACCTTCTTTTTTTTTAATGTCCAGAAAACACTTTAGTCATCTTCATCTGTGTAGTTAAAGATTATATCTTTTTTTTTTTAATTTATGATAGTCACACACACACACAGAGAGAGAGAGAGAGAGAGACAGAGACACAGGCAGAGGGAGAAGCAGGCTCCATGCATCGGGAGCCCGACGTGGGATTCGATCCCGGGTCTCCAGGATCGCGCCCTGGGCCAAAGGCAGGCGCCAAACCGCTGCGCCACCCAGGGATCCCAAGATTATATCATTTTTAAATGGATACTATTAGATAACTATTCATTGTGGCAGTGTGTAGAAAATGATCTTCCCTGAGCCTTTTGCCATAGAATTATCCTTCATTTTCTAGTCATATGGGAAACTCTCTGTAAGCCTCCTGAAACAAACACTTTATAGCTACATTTATTTTCAATAATAAAGACTTTCAACATTTCCATGGTAAGACTGAATAAACTGAGGCTATAGAGATAGCTTAACTTTCAGAGGCCCTAAGAAGTATTTTTGACAGAAGAAACAGGAAGAGGGATTAAGAATTGATTATAGAATGAAACTGTCTAAGGATGGATGATAGGCAACAGAATAAAAGTATTTGTGTGTATACTAAAATTAAGATTATAGAAAGTGTTGGATGGGGGCAAGAGAAGGTGATAAGACTAGTGCAACAAGATTAATACTTGCTGCAATTATATTGAGGATAAAATCAGGAGAGTTGTTTGGAATTTTAAATCTGTGGCTTTTTCTTATGGAAAGCAGGAAATTAAGAGTAGGACAGATGAGTAAGTATTTTATATTCTTTACCATCATCTTCCAGTAAAAAAATGCCCATTTATTGTTAGTATTGGGAAAAGAGGTACTATTTCCTTAAATACAGTATTTTAAGCTTTCTGGAATTGATCAATATTAATTAATCCAAATATCTCTCTGTTCACTTGAGTAATATTCCCAAATCATAAGGCCCTCTTCTTCATCCAGAGTGACCTATAGTGGGAGGCAATAGTTTATCAAATGGAAAACTAGCGGTTACCAGGGATTTAGATGGAAGAAATAGAAACCCTAGAACATGGCTTTTGTGAAAGAACAAAAGCTCTAAATCAGAGATTATACTGAATTTTAGTATGTACTTTAACCCACTGGAAGGGAAGTACAACAAAATGTTAATAGTGGCTAGGCAGTGAAATGATGGGTAATTTAAAAATGTTCTTTTTAATTTTCTGTATTTTCATAAGTATTTCAATCAGAATGTAAAAAAGAAAAATTTAAAATTTACCCAAGTGGCAAGGATTTGTCTTACATCCTTCCAGAATTGCTTGTTATATATGGTTCTCAAAATAATTAGTGGCTTTTTCAGAGGTTTCCCTCTTTCTAAATCATCCCTATAAAATAAATTCTGAAAGGATAAGCCTTTTGAATTGAAAAGTTTCAAGAAAGCTGAACTTGGGATGTGAAGTACTTTTGCCTTTATTAACATCTCCAAAGAAACTCCAAAGAAACTGTGAGACAAAAGCTCTACAGCAAGGTGGAAATGCATCAGTGCATTTCTTAATCAGTGTGAAGGGAGAAATAACTCTTCAAAAATATTAATAAAAATATAGTATTGATCTTAATTGGTAACATGCTACTTTTCATTTTCTTTTACCTTTCAAATTCATTCTGGGAGAGGTTGATTTTTAAGACTTTAGCCTGTCACTTTGCCCAGCTCCCAGTACCAAAAATAAATCTCTACCTTCCTCTTTTACAAAACAAAACAAACAAAAAAGCCACACACTCCATCCTGAGTGCAGCTTTAGGTTTATTAGGTTATAGGTCTTCCTATTATATCATCATCGCTCGATTCCTGCCTTCTTTAAACTCTATTCTTTCTTGCCTTCTTCTTTTTTTTTTTTAAGCTGTTCCTATTTCTTATTTGCTTAGTTACTTTTTACTGTCTTGATTTTTTCAACCCACATACCTTAAAGCAAGTGATCCTCCAACTGGTTTGGAGTTTTATGCCACATGTTTCTGAAGGATACTGGCTAATGCTTAGTGATCCCAGAGCAAGTTAGCAACCTCTTTACACCTACAGGGTTAGCAATGTTCACAGGTGCCACTGGTTATTACTGGAAGGCCTACGGTAAAGGCAGAGGAGAAGAAAAAAGGGACAATAACGGGAGTGGGGAAAAGGAATGGCAGTAAAGGAAGACAGGGGAGGAGAGAAGAAGGTACACAAAGTAGAGTGGTAGAGAGCCACAACAGCACAAAGATATTCTTTACCAAACACTGCCTGTGGGCGGTGTTCTAACACTGACGAGACTAGGATCATGCCTCTGCTCACAAATGGCTTTTGCTACCTTAATTATGATGTTGGTATATATACAAGGGCATAGCAAACATTCCCATATCAAAATGGTTATCTGTTATGCATTATGTCTCTGATAGCAACACTAGCAACACTTCACAGGAAAAAAATAATATGAAAGAGCTACATAATAGTCTGTTGAATGTCTCATATTGTGAGATGTTAGATGTTTTTTATTTGTGTGTGTGAAATAACTAAAAATACCACCACTTCAAAACAAAAGAATAAATAAGATTCCAGATGGTAATTTTATATAAAATTTCTTTGGTAGAGTCTACATTAGCAGAAAAGGCTCTTTTAAGGCTCATGTAGGCTAATAAGGCTCTCTTGGCAACTAGAAAAGCTAACAGCAATAGTTTCTTTTTATTGAGCTGCTGCTATCTCATGCAACAACACAACACAGAACAACATTCTGTTTGAGAATATTATTCTTTGTATTACCAAGAATGTAAAAAAATAGACTTTCTTATCCCTTTTGTATTTCATTTGCTAACATTGTTTATTCTACTCTGAAAGTAAGAATTCTTTTACATTTTACAGTAATCCTATATGGCTACCAATTATAAGTTCAAAACAGAACTAACATTTCAATTGGAGAACAAGAAACAAGAAGAGCCAATGAGGTTATTAGAAGACTGAAATAATTTTCTTTCTGGACAATATTCATTATAATAAGCACTGTAGAAGGAACAAATTTGGAAGAAAAAAATCCTAAAAGCCACGAGGGATTTGTTATTCATGTTTTCAGGAATACTCTAAATTTAGTGAGATCAAGCTGAATGACGTGCATCCAAGATAGTATCCCTGAGAAAGAATATACTAGTAGGAATTAACCTCTCCACCACTATATTTATGTAGAATAGGAGAGTAACAATTCAGATAAATGTTAACCTTTTTTTCAGAGATGGTCTAAGAAAATGTTTTTCATAAAAATGATAGTGATAACAAGTTACCATTATCAAGCATTTTATAAAATAATTATTGAGTGCTTGTTTTTGGTGCCAGATATTTTACTAAGGCTTTCTATGGTCTCATTTAATCCACACAACTTGTTGGGTAAGTATGACTATAGTTATCATCATTTTACAGATGAGACAACTGAAGCTCAAAAACTTTGAGTAATTTGCTCAAATTACATAGATAGAACAAGTACTGGGACCCAGATCACTCCTACTTTGCTTTTCAAAGCCCATAACCACAACCATTTGCTATATTGCCTCCAACACAAAAAGACATTGCTAAGAGAAAGTGATGGAACATGGAGGAGATTAGTGAGTATATTTAATTATAAAAAATGAAATAATTTAATGACTAGATAGAGTAAAAAGAACAAGTAAGAGATTCCATAAAGAACTATTAAAAAGGAACTGGCCTTCTTATCAGCTCTGATAAGCTGGGAAATGTTTTTAGACATTTCTTCAGTGATATTAGCCTTGAGCTAATAACCAATAATAGTTTCTAAGTAATTCCATTGCATTTTCATTTTGGGTTCTGAGATTAGACTTTAACCAGGCAATTGCTGTCAGTATTTGCTTTCAACCTTTATGCATTCTGAGGCAACTCCAAAGGTATGAGTTGCGTGTACCACCTAAGGTTTCAAAGCTTTTGAAATCTAGCTCTTAAAGGGAATTAGAGGTTTCCCTTATACTTGCTTTTTATGAAGCACTTATTGATGTTTGAGTTTAAAGCAGAAGAAAAGCCCACCCTACATGATCCTTGTTCTGGGAATCTGCTCTTCTTTCTTGGACCACATAGATGTTTTCAACTGGAAAACACAGAGAAAACTTCCAGACCAAGACTGTCTGCTACCTGACATATATGTAAAGGTCAAAAGAATGAATTATGGTACAGTATTTCTATCAGTTTCTTCATATTTATTTGTCAACAAGCATTTTCAAGTAACAATAGTACTTTCACTGGAAACTTTTAATCCAGATTGTTATCTGTGAATAAAATTATTTTGATAACCAAGCAGGAAACAAATATAAAACTCACTGGGTGCCTAGGCTGAGCCAAAAATCGGAAGAAAAAAAATACAGTGTGACTATGATGATACTCAAAAATCAAAAACATTTACCTCGGACAGCATAGCCATCTTTTACAGATGCTGGAAAGGGGGGTAGGTTGTCTTTTGCATATACATCTTGAGCAAGGACTCGCCCCATTCCATCTGAAAAAAGAGAAAATAAGAATAATATCAATGTGGAGAGCAATGGCAGGCAGTCATATACAAGGTGGGTAAGTATGTCTGTCTGGCGAGGCCTATATATGAGCTCAGTCAGACAGACCCCCTGATTTCTATCTCAAGGAGCTGGAGACAGAAGGAAGACACGTATCCTTGTGTTTGAAATGAAAGATTAGATTCAATTAATAGGTATGCTTACAGAGATTATTTGAATATGAGCAGCTACACAGTCATCAAAGATGTGTTCAATTTGTTGTGTCGTTAATCCTTTAACTACCCAAAGATGACTTTCTTTAAAAAGCCAATTTTTGAACATTTTCATATTTGTTGATCCAGTAATTTCACTTCTGGAAATCTATCCTAAGAAAACAGATAGATCTCTAAGCACATGTTTATTTTAGTGGCTTACATTAGTGAGGATAGTAAAGAAATAAAAAGATCAATAATATAGAAATTACATAAATAATGATCTATCCTTATGATAAAATACTATCATATTAATAATGCAGGTTAATGTAATATTCATGAAGAATATTCATTGACCAGGAAAATTCTTAAGACACATATTTAAAATATATGCAGAAATGTATATGTAGTATATAATGTGTACATGCCATTAAAAAAAGATGAGAAGGCCATATATGAAAATATAAAGCATTTGTTATGTTAGTATGTTAAAATTATGTATGATTTTTATTTCCTTTGTTATACTTTCTGAAAATTTCCAAATTTTTTATAATGATCAAATGCCATTTTTAAATTAAGAAAGTTTTCCTTAAGAGGAGAAACGTAAACAAAAGGAATTTTAGCCTTTGCTTTTGGCTTTCAATAAAATTCTAACAAAATTTAGCCTAAAAAAATCAGTGATTATAAATAAGCAGAAGACCAGTAACCTGTTTTGTGAAAGGACTATTCAAACTACTCTGGATGTTTTACCATTTTCAGCTAAAGCCTAAGAATTTGAGCTAGAATAAAAGTTTCAAGAGTCATGACCAATTTCTTAAATCTTCTAATCAGAATCTGTCTTAATTACTATTACTATTTCAAAGAGGCAAAATAATAATAAATAGAAGGTGGAGAAGAAAGAAGAGGGGAAGGAAAAAAAATCAAGCTTGTCTCCAAAGACTATAAGTAATACAGGATTTGATTTACATGAGATGTTCATATAATTTAGAACACTCCATTATTTCCAGAGTTGGATGGGTGTCTTTGTTTGTGTGTTTTTTGTTTTTGACTTTGTCCTTCTTGCCACCTAAAGAAATTTTTAATTTAACTCTGATCAATACTGATACTGTTATTAACTCTTTCCTTTTAGGGAGGTGATAGCTGAATTGGAAGGGTGAATTTCTTAGCAGATTCTAGCTTCAGATATTCCTAGAGGGTTGTAGCTATTCTGGAGCTATCCTGGAGCTATGGACTTATATTTAGTAAGACCAGGGAAGTGGTAAAACCAGAGAGTCTAGTTTGGATTCATTATGTTGTACACCTGAAACTAATATAACACTATGTGTTAACTGTACTGGAATTAAAACAAAAAAAAAACTAAAAGAAAAGATTATATAGGAAAAAAAAGTTTTGTGCATTAAAGGACACAATCAACAGAGTGAAAAGGCAATCTATGGAATGGGAGAATATAGTCGCAAATCATATATCTGATAGTTAATGTCTTGAATATATAAAGAACTCCTATAGGGCAGCCCGGGTGGCTCAGCAGTTTAGCGCCGCCTTCAGCTCAGGGTGTGATCCTGGAGAACGGGATCGAGTCCCATGTCGGGCTCTCTGCATGGGGCCTGCTTCTCCCACTGCCTGTGTCTCTGCCTCTCTCTCTCTCCATGTCTCTCATGAATAAACAAAGTCTTAAAAAAATAAAAAAAATAAAGAACTTCTATAACTCAATAACAAAAAGATCAAATAACTCAATTAAAAATGGGCAAAATATCTGAACAGACGTTTCTCCAAAAAATGATATACAAATAGTCGACAACATTTGAGAAGATGCTCAACATCATTAATCATTAGAAAAATGAAAATAAAAACCCAATGAGCTATCACCTCACTCCCATTAGGATGGCTATTATAAAAACAAAACAAAACAAAGCAGAAACTAACAAGTGTTGAGGAGAATGTGGAGAAACTGGAACCCTGTACGCTCTTGGTAGAATTGTAAAATAGTGCAACCACCACCGAAAATCAGAAGGTTCCTGAAAAAATTAAAAATAGAAATAGCATATCCATCAATTCTACTTCTGGATATGTAACCAAAAGAGTTGAAAGCAGCATCTCAAAGAAACATTTTCACACTCATGTTCATAGTAGCACTATTCATAATAGTAAAGAGGTGAAAGCAGCCCAAATGTTCATCAATGGATGAATGGATAAACCAAGTGTGGTGTACATATTTATAAACTGTCACATGATACAACATGCATAGACCTTGAGGACATTATGCTAAGTAAAATAAATCAGCCACAAAAAGACAAATAGTGCATAATTCCACTTATATGAGATATATAAAGTAGTCAAATTCTTAGCAACAGAAAGTAGAATGGTGGTTACTAGGGGCTGGGATGAGAGGAAAAAGGGAGTTGTCTAATGGGTATAGAGTTTCAGATATCCAGCATGAAAAAGTTCTGGAGATATGTTTCACAACAGTGTGAATGTACTTAATGCCACAGAATTATACAATTAATAATGGTTGAGATAAGTTTTATGTTAATGTGGTTTTTATTGCAATAAAAAAATGAATGAGGTACTGATACATACTACAACATGGATGGATCCTGAAAATACTATGCTAGGTAGAAGAATATAGTCCAAAAGACCATATATTGTATCATCCCACTCTATGAAATGTTCAGAATAGGTAAATTTACAGTAGAAAGTACACTGCTAGTTACCAAGGGCTGAATGGGGGTGATGAAGGGTTAGGAGGAGGATGAGAGCTAGCGAGGTTTGGGATACTTGTGAGGTGATGAAAACATTCTAAAATTGACTGTGGTGGTGGCTGTACATATCTGTGAATATACTAAAAGCCCTGAACTATATTTAAGTGGGTGAATTATATAGCATATGAGTTATATCTCAAAGGGCAATGGTAATAGCTTTTATAAAAGAATAAGAATATTTATCTCATTTTAACATATAACTATATTTAGAAGACCCAAGAAAAGTCATTATTTGTAGCACACATATACCATCTGGTCTTTATAGACTTCTAAATATCATGGAAAGAAAAATAAAATTTTTCATCTGGAAAGAAATGCTTCACATTTAATTAAGGTTACTAATATAAATTTAATAATAAATAGAATTAAGCCAGCTTTTTATTTTGGACTCATGTTAAATTCAAGAGTTGTTATTTTTTTTTAAAGATTTTATTTATGTATTCATGACAGACACAGAGAGAGATTGGCAGAGACACAAGCAGAGGGAGAAGCAGGCTCCACGCAGGGAGCCCGACGTGGGACTCGATCCCGGTCCCGGGTCTCTAGGATCACACTCTGGGCTGAAGGCAGCGCCAAACCGCTGGACCACAGGGCTGTCCAAGGGTATTTATTTATTTATTTATAAGATTTTATTTTTATTTACTCATAAGAGAGAGAGAGAGAGGCAGAGACATAGGGAGAAACAGGCAGAGGGAGTAGCATGCTCCATGCAGGAAGCCCGAGGCGGGACTCGTCTCCGGGATCACGCCTTGCACTGACGGCGGCGCTAAACCGCTGAGCCGCCTGGGCTGCCCAGGGTTATTATTTTTAAGATAAATTTGATCCCTACTGGATTAATTCTGATTTTGAATGTGGTATCAAGTTAAGATCAGATATTAAGTTTCTTCAAAGACAAAAAAACATGCATTACCTCAAGTTTTGGTCTAAAAGCCTAGGGCAAGGAAAGGATTGGGAGAAAAATATGCAAATGATTGAAAAATGGTCCAGGCTACAGTTGGCAGAAATAAAAGAAAAAAGAAGGAATATATGTCAGATATACCTCTCGGCTACACAAGGAACTATATCCATATCTTGTAGTAGGGTTAAGGACTAAACAAACAATGGATAGCTCTTTCAAAGAGTAAATATTAGACTTATTCACTGTCTGACCAGATGATTTGGTAACTTAAAGAGTACATAGCAGTGCTGCAAACTACATGGGACATTCCTACATACACTCACCTACAGTTAAACCACTCCTTCTCTTTGCCTATAGGTGGATCCTCAGTTTTGGTGTTGAATAAACTTTGAGCATGTGATTTTAGAGAGCCTCAGCCTTCAAGCTTGGATGGAATCAGGCAGCACTAACTTCTCAATTAGATATTATGACTGTTTTAAGTTTATAATTTGCTAGAGTAAGCTAAAGCTGTGAGAACTAAAGGTCTTACTAAAAGATAAAATTTCAGCAAAATTCCTTTTTCCCAGTCTCTCCAAACCAATGAGAGCCCTACTTATATTAAGTAAAAGACAGTTTCCACAATATATAATTAATATGCTTTCTTAGGAATATTTGATAGTGTGAGTTTATAGCTCTTCATAGTCTCCACTGAGAATTTCAGTTGTAGAAAGTTAGACAGTATGCCAAGAAGCTATTGTTCTGCTTTGAGAATCTGAGAATGTTATGTCCATTCTGTTCTATCTTTTCCCACACACAATATTCTCTAAGTTCTGTGTAATACAGAATTAAATTTGATGAAGATAACAATAAATGCATATTTCTAGATTCTGTGGAGATAAAAAATCTTAAATGTAGGGCTATGTATCTTTGGGGACCCTTGTCCATATATACAATTAAGTGATCTCAAGAGATTGATAAAAAGAAAGGACTGGAAAAGAGTGGTTGATGATCTATACTGTTTTGTGTAGTATGCTCACTTGTGCTACAAGAAGACAGTGATGGCATGCTTGGTTAAAAGGTGATAGAATCCTTATGTTGTTAGTAAGATACTCATATATAAGTTAGCTAGCTCCCCACATGATGACAGTCATTAACAAACTCTC